GGGTTTTGGTGTTTTTGGGTTTTTTTTTTTGTGTGTGTGGTTTTTTTTTTGTTGTTGTTGTTTTTTTTTGTTTGTTTGTTTGTTTTGTTTTTTTTCATTTTGCAGATAAAAAGCAGCAAAGTGTTAAGTTTCTTCCCCTAAATAGGCTCCTAGAAAATTTCTTGTCTGTGTAGTGTGTTATTGGATAAATATATCCAATTATTAGGTGCCAGTTTCGCTAAAGAAGAAATAAAAATGACATCAACTGCGCTGTCAGTACATTGCAGCTAATCTAAGTGCCTGATTCTTCACAGGATCATCTGCTTTGCCACGCTTCTGTGGCTGTTGAATGCTCAGCTTGCCCCGGGAGTGGGTGCTGTGTGCTGAGATTCAGGCTTTTCGATGGTAATTCTTGTGCACTAGAGCCAAAAATAAGGATCCAGAGGTTACCTTTGTGCCAAGATGCTGTCATTTTGGAATGACCATATCACAGTTCAGAAAGCAACACGTCACTCAGTTATGCAAGGCAAAAAGACTTAAATTTTACAGCAAAGGGAGTTGGCAGGTGTTACTCTGGCTTCCTCGTAGTGCTGTAGTTGCAGCTCATTGCTGGATGAGTTTTCCAGCTGTCCCACAGCAGAAGGCTAATTTGTTTGGGTTATGCATTGAAAGATAGAGCTTTCCTTGCTTAGTCAGTAGTCAAACCATTAGGTTGGAGTTTAATATATAGAAGATACTACAATTGTGGGTGTGTATATATATATATATATGTAATCTACAGAGTAAATTACAATAAAGAAGCAATTTTCATGCCAAATTAGAGAAATGGTGAGACATGGCATCTTTGAAACTTACCTAATAGCTTCCCATCTGAAATTGGGGTTATGCCATTGTGGTTAGTCTTTTTTCCTACTAATTTTTCAGGAAAGTGTATTATAAAAACACACTCTCTCCAAAGGACACAGGAGTTGTTTGAAATGTCCACTCTGGTTTTCAGAACCATCCATATTTTGGACACAGATTTGCTGCTTTTATCAGTTTGTTCACAGTTTCAGGTTCTTTCTGAGGCTCAGATATACATAGTATTTCCCGCTTCAGTTTTTTCCTCTCTGAATTCAAATGTTACCGAAGTCATCTTGAGTTCAAATGTACAACTCCCTCCAAAAGCCATCTGCTCTTTGTTCTAGCCTAGTCAGGTATTAATTTGATTTCACTTGACTGTTCAGCCTTTGAAGTTGGTGCACTCGTGTTTCCCTCAGCTTTCTTTTGCCTTATATCAAATTTAAAGCCCTGTCAGATTAACGTTACTTGTTCACATATACCAGCTCCACATTTTGGAATCTCTGCCAAGCTGTAGTCTGGATATTTTTCTTTTTTTTTCTTTTTTTTTCCTAACTTCCCGTACTGCTTTGGCAAGCCTTCCTGAGTCTGAAAATGCAGTCTAACGTGCAGTAATTTCAAAACTCTGAAATACTTTTTTTTTTTTTTTTTAATACCAATAGTAATGACTTGAAAAAGTCAGACCAAAAAAACATTAGGACACCTGAATTTTTTGTGTCATAACTTAGCCCAGTTCCCAGTCTGGACAGGTGATGGTGTTGCAACTGGATCCAACCACTAAATCCTTTCTCTCCATCCCCTCTGCTTCTGCATTTGCTGATCTGGGAGGAGAGAGCAAGAGGGAAGGGGGAGTGATGACTTTTTGGTAGCTCTGCACTCAGAGGTGCAGGCCTGGAACCTGGTGTTCATTTTACCTGTGCATTTTACCTGTCCTTACTGGAGCCTCCTCATGCTGGGCAGACACAATTCTGTGTTCCCACGTGCTGAGATCCATACACCGAAGGATTTTATGACTGTGGGACTACTGATTAATTGGAAAATCGGAGATTTTTCAGAGACAAATTAATATAGTAATGAATACATTCATGAGAAATTCCTAAGTGTAAAAGCAGTTTATTATTTTTAAGATAAATTAATAGAATTGAGGAGGCTTGGAGAGCAGCTCCCTGATCTTACTGGATAATGTACAAGTGCAGATTCTGTTCAGTGTCTCTGGGTAAACCAGAACAGTTCACACAGTCTTCTCTTTCCATTTGATCTGCTGGCTGTGAAGAAGAGAGTCCTTGTTGAGAAAAACAGCCTCCTATTTAAAAGTTGCCCATGACTGTGGAATTTTTCCCTGTCCAGATTGTTGGTCTCAGTAGCTTGTTCAGCTTCTCTGAAGTGCTGGTTTGGAGACGTGAGGCAGCTTGAGAATGAGGGTGTTGATGGAAGGGGAGGTGGAGACAGAACGATTGTAGACCATATAGCTGAAATCCTGTGATCGAGTGTCTCACAGTTTCACTATTACTATCTCATGGGTTTAGAATTGCTCCAGTAGTGCTATATTTTCACTGCACAGTCAAAGCCTTACTTGTACAAACTTCATTTTTCCACGGTAGAAAGGGTGACTCAGTGCTGATGGTCTTTGTTGTTAGACTTCTCTGAAGGAGATGACACCTGGAACACTTAAGATTCAATGAGTTTCCACTTCCAGCTCGGTGTCTTAACCTACCAGTTTCTAATACAAGGTGAAAATCTCGTTGGAAGTATTCAAAAAAAGCTTTTCTTGTACTAACAAGATTTACTTTAAGAGCTCATTGGTATAAACTCTCAGGCTTCCAAAATTATCTTTAATAATGCTATTTGAGAGAATCCTGTGGTAATGCTGTTTTCTTTCCATAAAATTGAATTCTTAATTTTGACTACATACTGAGCTGTTTGGAATTCTGGTCAGCATTTTCAGTGTGAAATCAGAACACAGTATGTTGCATGAGAAACTCAAGATGCAGTGCTGGCACAGAAGGGGGAGGACTGCAGTTACCTGACTTGGCCTTGCCTGCTGGGAGCAGAACTGGCCTCTGGTGGCTCTCAGGAAGAGGCTCTAGAAGAGCTTAATGTTTTTTGATGGTGGCTGAAACTGGGGTTTGTTGTCTCAAATATCAGTTTCTGTTTTCAGTGAGGTTTTGCAGTGTGAACATCAGCAAAAACAATACTGACTTGGCATTTTTCTCCTTGAAATGGATGGGAGATGGACACACACTGCAGCAAAGCTGTGAGACACCAGAAAGGACATGGCAGTGAAGGAGGAGTAATCTTTTCTGTTAATCCCAATCCTCCTCTCTCTCGCTTCTGGATAGTCCATACAACCTTTGATTCCCAGGTTTTGCTTTCGGGCTGGGCTGTTGATGCCTAAGTGAGCTTTGCTGCTGAGGTGGAGCTGCTGGCACAGGCTGTGCTGCTGGCATGGCACTGCCCAGCTCCGGCTGGGGCACTGTGTCCTTCCACTGCAGTGCAGCACAATCCCAAACAAGCAGCTCTGCCGTGGGATATTGTCTGTGCACCGGCTCTAGCGTCCTGATTAATCATAAAAAACAAACAGCTGCTGATGTGCCACCAGTTAGAGAAGAATTACAGTGGAATCTCAAAGATTTTGGGGGGCGGGGGAGTGCCAGAGGGGGGTGGGGATGCTGCTGCTGTAGATAAATATGCTGGTGGTGCTGCAATGACGTAAAAAAATACTCCTTCTAAAACCTGTCTCAAAGACATGGTTGCTGAAAAGGAAGGGTTATGAATAACAGTGCAACGGTGAAGATAAGGATTTAACGTGATTTAGGCTGCTACAGTTCTTTAATGCCAGGTTTCATGTGTGATGGAATACATTATTTTTGCTAGAGGGTTAAACACTTTCTTGCTCATCCCAGCTGGCTTTTATGGATTTCCAGGTCTGCCTGCTGAGAAGTAAATTAAATATGTAGCTGCTTCTCACCTTTCCTCTGTTGCTGCACTAATAGAAGAGAATTTTTCTTGCCAGTAATACAGATGGTGATCTTCGCTCCCGAGACTTATTATTTTTTGGTATCAGAAAGGTTGACAAATCTGCATTATTTCCGGAAGGATTTATATTTCTGAAGAAAAGGATAATAGGCATGCTTCATTTTCTTAAAGCTGTGCCTAGGCACTTGGAGGCATAGCAAACCTACACAGACCTTATAAGCATGGCTGAAAAAGAAAGATGAACTGCTTTAGGATGTCCTTGAAATATGGTGTTGGATGGGTTTTTTAACTTCACTTGGAAGGTTTGGCTCTTTTTCTGTCAAAAGTTGCCTTTTGCATGTGCTGTTCAGGATCCATTAAATGTCAGATGGAGGTTAGAAAGCCAAGGGTAACTGTTCCATTTTTATGTATTTATAACCATCTTTTTCTTGTGTTATGATTTCTGTTTTTGTGGGGGTTTTTTTTGTTGTTTTTTTAATATATATCTGCAGGACAATTAGCATATTATTTTGAAGTAGTTATATATTACTTTAAATGCTGTTGAAAGTATATATGAAAAGAAAGACATTTAATTGAATGCTATATGGTAGATTTTTGTTTCATTTTCCTTTATATTTTATGCAACAAATAAATATATGTAAACATGTTACTAATGTGTTTGCTTGTATGTTTATTTCTATAGGAACATGCATTCAAAGACAATGGGAGTTAGAGATTTTTGTCTGAATTATATTTTCTGGAATAAAATACATTGAAATGAATAGAGTCACATGCTGACAGTGCCAGAGGCAAAGAAATAAGCAGAATTGTTTTTATTTGAAAGTATTCCTTTCAATGAGATTATCACTACGTGCATTAGCTGCAGAGCACTGCTGAAAATTTTTCTCATAAGAATGAGTTAATATAATCAAATTATTTAATCTTTCTTTACCTTCCTCTCTTCCCTTGCTCCCAGCCATGCCAAGTTCTCCATCATTACATTGTCCAGCTGTTTCCAGGACCTGTGTGTACCAGCCAAGCGCAATCTGTCACTGTCGGTGTTTAAAGCTGCTATTGTTTATTTACTGCCCCAATTAGAGGCCAGGTTTGCAAACTTGCTTGTTGGAATGCTTTGTTAGGAAACTCGGTAAAAGCTCAGCAGTCTTTGTTTAATTATACTCACACTCTCCCGTGTTCTTCCTTCCCCCTCTCTCCCCCTGCTACAGGAGCCCAGTAACAAACGGGTCAAGCCGCTCTCCAGAGTCACATCCCTGGCCAATCTCATCCCTCCTGTCCGAGCCACTCCACTGAAGCGCTTCAGCCAGACCCTCCAGGTAATGGCAGCACATCCAGCTGTGTTGATGAAAGCAGAACATGGACACAGCCACAGTTTTTTGGGTCTTTGAGAATGGGAGATGCACATACACCACCCCCACACACACACATACACTGTAATGTGCCGAACAGGTTCAGGTAACTTGTGAATATGAAGTCACTCAGCTTCAAACTCTCAACTCTCACCTCAAAAAAACCACTTCTTTTTCCAGATAATTAATGCTTTTCAATTACCAGTAAGAAAAAGTATTGCACCTGTAGCATATAAAAACTGTTTACTAATGGATCACGATTGCTTTTTAAATTTGATGAAGAGAATGTTCCACAACATTTTCTATTAATTTTGGTTGGTTTCTTTGGAAGTGTTTTATTTTTGGTATAGTTGGTCATGTAGGACTGCTAAATTTCCTTCTGTACAGTGAACTTTGACCTTGCCTAAACAAAAGAGTTAGTGAACAACTGGAAATTTCCAAGTCATTTTCCAAAGCTGATGATGAAAACTAGTAAAGGGTAAGCAAATTTTTAAATGCAGTTTCTATGTTACAGTTTATGTGCATAATATTTAGCATACTTAGAGACTAATGGAAGTTGAGTTTATATATAAAGCATTTGTGCCTTCAGACCTAGAGACTGTGAAATATTTGGGTGCTCAGCTCCTAATGGCTCTGCTGAGTGCCAGCTGGGAGCTGCAGCACTGCTGTGGGTCTGGCCGAGAAAGCCAGACTGGTTCCTCTTTAAAACAGTTTATGTAAGAAAGCATGTAGAAGATCTAAAGAACGTTATTTAACAACCTTAAGATCTAAAGAACGTTATTTAACAACCTTAATTTCTTTGAGAAGGAAATGTAAAAATAACTTGGATGTATTAAAAATGTTCTAATCAAAATCAGCTAAACGAAGCATTACTGAAGCTACCTGTTAAGGAGGAAATGAAAGAAATAAAACTTCACAGCAGGGAGTCTTATGACAAATAGAAAGTCGTGGGAAAAAACCCTATTTTTCTGGTGGTAATTATCTAGAAAACAGATATTACAGGGGTTTTCTAACATTGGTTTTCCTGTCTTCAGTTTCTCTGGTGTGTGAAGTGCAGACACTGCACAGAAAAGCCGCGTGTGCAGGGTTGGAGGAGCAGCAGAATGTCTGCACAGCCCTCAGCCTGGGTTTGGGCCAGGTGTAGTCTGGCGTGACTCGAGCAGAGATGCCTGTGTTCCCTGGGGTGGATAAATCTCCTCCACAGTCTGCCTCCAGGAAAAACTGGCCCTGCTCTGAAAGGGCTACGTTAGTTCCAGTGGCGAGGAGTGTGGAAAGTGAATTAATTTCTGGCTAAACTGCAGCTGAGTGAGACGCTTCCCTTTTCCCAGCCTTACACAGCTGTTGGCCTCATTGAGGTACCTGTGCTATTGTTCTGCAGTGAATGCCTCTGCCACTGAACACAGTGCAGTATTGTCTGTAATAAAGTTCTTTTAGACTATCCAAAACAACTGTCCTTTCATGTGTGTAGTAGCAGCTTCCTGAAATGAGAGCTGTATAAATGTGTTTCAGGGCAAATTTTGTTGAAAATAGGAGAGAAAATAGTGGCTTTGCAAGTCCTACTGTTGCAAGCATTTCTATCTTACTCTGTTCATAATGACTATAAGAATATATTTTAATTAACTATGTGCTTCTAATCATATTAAACAGTGATGTTACTCATGCCAGCCCCTCTAACTATGTGCTTGAAGGAGCTGTGATGAGGAATCAGCTTGTGTGTTCTCTAAATCCTGGGTCTGAATCCATTTCCAAGTGATGAATGCTGGTGATGTCCCTCAAGACTGCCTTCATAGCTGGCTGTAAATTGACTTCTTATCTGATTTTGTCAGTAACTATAGAACAGGGATACAAAAGACTGACCTTGTGCTCAGGTGTCCCACTTGGAATTATTTAGAAACATTCTGGGAAGCACATATAGCTGTTTCACTTTATTATGTATTGACAGAGCTGTCACTGTGTCTTACGAACAGTTTAGAGCAGGATTGTTTTTCATGGTGTAATTTCCTGTAAAAAAAGGAAAAAGTTGATTTTTCTTACTGGGTGAACTTTAATGTATCTTCTATGTTATTTCAGTCAAAACCCATGTCTCCTCTTGCATTGCTGCTTAGATTTCTGCATCTGTAAAATGAAGTGAAGTGCTATCATCACCATAACACGCCAAACAAATGACCTCTTCCCCTGGAAGAAAACAAAACAAAGCCAACAGAACATCCATCTAAAAAGATTACTCCAACAGCATCAGTAAAAGGAATTAGAAAGTTCTGAGACTCCTTAATGACATTTCAAACAAACCTTCTGACACATTCTTCTGAATGGAAGACACATGTAAGAGGAAAAAAGTTTATTATGGATAATTTTCCTCACCTCTGTACACGTATCTTCCATTTTATATTAATGGGCTTCCAGCATGCAGGCTGAAGAGAAACATCTCTGTGTCTGGGATTTGTATAGTATCTTTTAAGATGTGTTCTTAGCAGCTGTTCATGTTTTGCCTATTTTATTGATTATAGAAGTATCTGATTATTTTTGGGTATACTCAATTTTATTACAATTCTCCACTTCTTTTCAGTACTTTCTCCATAAGGACTCCAAGTAACAAATACACAAAGTCTTTCTGGACATTTTTTTTTTTTTTTGACTATTTGTAGTCATTTTGTTTCTGTCACACAGAGCACTGTTGAGTAGCTGACTAATACAGTGCTGTCAGCTCCATCTCTGACAGTCTGTCTGGATATCTGCAGGATGCCTCATACTAAGCAGGTATTCTTATTTGCTCATCCACCTGGGAAACCAGTTTATTTTATAGCTGTATTCTCAGCCTCTATCAAGACAGACTAATGATTGTGATGATCTGCTTGGTCTTATTCACAGCTGTGCTGTTCAGCTTAAAAGCTGAAAATAGAATCAGAAAAAGAACTCCAGCTGATGCTGAAGAGAGAAACTGAAGTCTGGCTGGCTTCCTCTGCAACTTCAGTTTTCATCAGTGTGTCTTGGATTTAAGTAGGGAGTCCAAATTATTTTTATCTGTCTTAGGACACCAGAAATTTCTAAAAATCCTGAAGAAGAAAACTCTTTTTAACATCAGTCCTGAATGCCAGGGCTTTGATCAGTAGTGCCCTTTTCACAGTACATGAAGCTCTTGGCTTTACTGCAGCTGAAATTAAGGTTTGCTAATTGCATCAATTAACATCAGGAACACATAGAGCCTTCATAGCAACAGTCTTCAACCAGCCAGGGAAAGCTGTTGCCATCAGAGAATTACAGTAAACAAAATGAGGGGTTGTGTCTGGATTCTTCCCCAGCTCCTTTAGTTTTTGGAATTATATGAAAATTTTAATCATCACAGATGGCCATAATTTTTATAGAGTGTCTGGGACATGTTTTTTAAGGAAGCCAGAAAATAGGAAAATATTTTTAAAAGACTGTAGATGTAGAAATGCTGTTTTGACATTCCTGCAATTCCTTCATGGGATTCTATCACATGACTGATTTTTCTTTTCTTGTTTTTGTTTTCCCTTCTTGGCGAGTACCAATCAAAGACACCATCAGAATACTTGTTTTTAAAAGTTTATGGTAGAACTTCACATTAGGGCTCTGTTCCATTACATAAATCACCTCAGTCCTGTGCCCCTTACGTTACTTTTCTCAAAACACTGTGAAATGAGTTTGCTGTGTGCCATAATCTTCTCATTTGCATGTGAGTATAAGAGGTTCCATGATCCCTTATTATAAGAAGTGTAAATTAAGCATGCAATTTCACGGCTGTTTGTTTGTAAGTCTTGAAGGAGGACTAGCACCTGACTTGCAAAGTTTTGGAAGGTTTATGTGTGTGTGTTTATTTTTAAGGGATTTGTCAATACCAAGTGGGACTCAAATGGCTGCTTTTAAAAGGCATGGAGTTTATTTATATACTGTGTCTTCTGATATTGTAAAAACATACTTTTTTATAGGCACCGTTTGCATTTTATGGGCTCTTATCTTCAGAGGGGAATTTCAAGTCTTATGCTTTGTACGTGGTGCTTTCAACCTGGAAATGAAGAGAATTTATTTTGTTTTAAATATCCTTACCCAAGGCAGCTGAAAGATGATTGCGTTATGTAAGGCACATTTTAAATAACAACAAAAATGTCAAGTATTTCAACTATGTGGAATAGTTAAGGCATTTCAGAGGTAGGACCTCAAAAAGAAGCCTCTAATTTTAATGGAGTAAGAAAGGAATCTTTTCAAAATAGCACAGTAAGGGCATAAAGTCTCCATCCTTAGCCTGTGCTTTTTCTAAGAGTCTCCAGGCAAACAGAACTCTCAAATCTCTCTTAAAATTGGCTTTATTGAATTTTAGGACCAGACCACATAGTAGATACAGAGGTGCTGGTACACACTAGCAGTCTGGAGGCTCCAGAAGTACTAATAAAGATGCCACGGTAGAAGAACCCAATAGTGATTATTTCACAGTTTGCTATCTGCTAGCACTGATTGTTTAATGCAGTTCTTCAGCTGCTAAGAAGTAAAGTAGGAGCAAATGATGTGAAAAGAACCTTGCTTGTTGCTTGTCATAAATGTTAATATCTGAATATTGAGATAACTTTTCCTTAAAGTTTGTTCTCCTCATTTCAGTCAGATACTCATTTCACACCTTTCTCTGTGGATTAGTTCCTGATCTCATACATCTGAAGAGGCAGGATGTTACCAGTTGAAAGGGTTCCTCCATGTATCAAAACCAGTTTGGTCACTTAGAGCATTATGGCACTAATTATTTAATCCTCTTATGGACATGTCTGTAGTGATGATACCAATCAAATCCTTGATGATTAGCAGCTAAAAAAATAAAATACATGCTTTCAGGTATTAAGAACACTTTAATAAAAAAGTATTCATAGAGCTTACTCTCTAAAATTTGCATTGATTCTAAATTTTTAAGTATTAGGGATCTAATGAGGCAGATACGTGTAATGCATGAATAATTCCTGTTCACTGAACTGAAACTCTGATCAGTTCTGTTCATTTATTCTGCATTGTCCCTGTAGTTCACTCTCGATTCATGGTGTATGAATGCATTGCATGAGTTTTGAACATGTTGAGGGCAGGACATGGACACAGTTCACTGCAGGGATTGGAGGGACTGGCCTTCCATGAAGATGTATTAAAATAATTTCTCTCACATTCTCAGTGCTAAAACTTCTATGAGGTTCAAAGTAAACACTAATTAGGTAATACATTTGTTATACTGAACTGTGCATATAAATTCCTTAGAAAACAAGAGAAGTGCAGCTGTTCTAACCAGAAGCCCGATCCCTCCCTGTGTTCGCAGCGCTCCATCAGTTTCCGCAGTGACAGTCGCCCGGATCTGGTCAGTCCACGGCCGTGGGCTCGGAATGTGCCCCCTGCAAACACGAAACGGAGGGACAGCAAACTGTGGAGTGAGACCTTCGATGTCTGTGTCAATCACATGCTCACATCGAAGGAAATCAAGCGTCAAGAGGTCTGTATTGTTTCGTAACCGTAAATTGCGCGTTCCAAAGTTGCCTTTAAAGTGTGGAGTTGGAAATTGTAGTAGGCATTGAGATGGCACTTGAAGCTTTCCTGCCGTTAAATGGAATGTCACCACTCCACTAGAAGCAGAATTCCATCCCTAGTCTTTAGGATTCGAGCTATATTAGATACATATATTTGTCATAAAAATCAGCTCATTTCCTTCATAAATGCGAAGTGGCTGAGCTCTGTTGCCCTGTGATGGGCTGCGTGTGTGTACCTGTTCTGTGGGACACCTTCTGTAGTCATGGTAGAGATTCTGGTGTTTGGTGGTGTTGTCCTAGCAATGCTAGATGAGCAGGCTGTGCCAGGAACAGGGATTCATCAAGTGATGCATACACACAGAAATGCACCATCAGTTCAGTTCAACTTCCAATATAAAAAGAGCATGTCAGTGGTTTTAATGTGTTGTACATGACAAAGTCTAAATAGTTCATATTGCAGTCAATACAGAGCTTCCTACAGAAGCAAGGGGTTTTTATTTTGAAAAGCAATTTGAGCAGTATCAACAAAGTTCATAACAATCTCTGAGAATACTTCAGGCACTGAGTCATAAATCAAACAATAGTAGTGCCAAGCATTTCTTGTGCAAATTTTAACAATGTACAAGAATTCATCGGAAATAGCTTCTGTAATTGAGAACTTCAAAGGCAGCTTATTGAAAAATAAATTGTAGAAACTGTTTGCACAGTGTAACAGTCATTGCTGTCTTGGGGCAGAAGCCAGAACCCTTGATACGGCCCAAATAAATGAGCTGTATTCCAGGAATCAGCTACACGGTATTAAGACAGAGTATTAAGCTGGTCAAAATATAACATCAATTCAGTAAGTGGAGCATAGATTAAATAAAGATATTTTAGAATATTTGTGTCTGTTTTACAGGCCATCTTTGAGCTTTCCAAAGGAGAAGAAGACTTGATAGAAGATCTGAAGTTGGCAAAAAAGGTATGTTAAAAAAAAACCCAAACAACCCAAACCCACAAAACATAACAGTATTGATAGGTACATAACACTTTAAAAATAATGTTTGTTTTTTATAATTGCTAAGAAAGTAAGGGGGGGAAGAAACTCAAAGCATATTTCTATCTTCCCATTCTTTGTGAAGCATTTAAATGTGCTGCTTCCCCCCCCCCCCCAAAAAAAAATTGATAATATAATATATAGTTATGAAACTTTTAAATATTCTCAGCAGTTGATCTGTTTTTACTTACAGGGAGGTTTAAATACTAACTTTTCAACTACCAGTGATATATTAATTACAGAACTCCCCTTTTTTTTTCTTTTCAGGCTTATCATGACCCAATGCTTAAGCTTTCCATAATGACAGAGCAAGAGTTGAACCAAATTTTTGGAACACTGGACTCCCTAATTCCTCTACATGAAGGTAAAACCCCAATAGTCTTTGTCTGCATTGCTACTGCACGTAGGTTTAAAGTCACCTGCTTTATTAACTGAGGTTTCTCTTCTGTTTTTCTAATGATCAGATCTTCTTAGGAGACTTCAAGAAGTCAGGAAACCTGATGGATCAACAGAACACGTTGGCCACATCCTTGTGGGTTGGGTAAGGCAGAACTCATAATCAATCTGGTGACTCCAGCTTGGAGCTGTAACAGTTTTTATCAGACAGTTTGATTTTTGTGTCTGGCATAACAGGTCAAAAATCTATTCTCAGAATTTTTTTAAAAGGTAGGGCAACTATTTAGAGATATAATGGAATATCTTCTCTTTTCAGGGATTTTCCATGAAAAGATTTAGACTAGGACGTTGTTTTTAAAGCTTTTGCTCTTCAGGACACAAGCTGTATTTAATATACTTTAAACAAAAATAGAGAGGCAGACTAGAATTTGTCACATATAGGTCATTTTAGAATCTGCCCTCATTTGTATTTTGTTTTTCTTGAAAAGTTTTGAATGTCATTCTGTTCCAGTTGTCAAAGTTGTTATTTTTTTCTCAGATTTAAGGCACAGTTTTGTCATCTTAGCTTGGTCAAGTTCTTGAGGGCAATATAGAAGTTTGACTGTGGAATTTTGCATATCTAAAAAAGGTCAGGTTTGGGAGTACTCATTCCTGGGCCTTTATTTCCATTCACAATTAACATCAGGCTTCTGTAGTTAAATATTAAGTTGTGCTCAGTCTTAAATCATTGATATTTTTAATGCTTTACAATAGTATTGGAGATTTCTAGGCACTGAGACATCAGCTAGTGCTTCTAAATTACTGCAATTCTGAACAAGGTCTGAGGACCCTTGTAAAACTTAGGTATGTTGGAAGTGCTGTCATCAATAAACTGTGGATAAATCTCCAGCTAAAAGAGTCTCAGCAGGAATTTCTGACATCCTGAATCGCTGGAAACTTTCAGTAGAGCAAACTGTGCTTCTCTTCAGCTGCAGAATAATTTATTCCTTTCCTCAGCTGCCATGCCTGAACTCCTACGACAGCTACTGCAGCAACCAAGTAGCAGCCAAAGCTTTGCTGGATCACAAGAAACAGGATCACAGAGTGCAGGATTTCCTGCAGCGCTGCTTGGAGTCTCCTTTCAGCCGCAAACTGGACCTGTGGAATTTCCTGGACATCCCAAGAAGCCGTTTGGTTAAATACCCATTACTGCTCAGAGAAATTTTGAGACACACCCCAAATGATCATCCAGATCAGCAGCACCTTGAAGAAGCTGTGAGTTCCTGTGGGGTTTGGGTTTTTTTAGGAGATTATAGCACTTTTAGCTTGTTAATGAATTCAGAGACGCTACATAAAATACAAAAATGCAAATAGTTAATATGTACACCTGAAACTAATACATAAAGTATCTAGCACCACTTTCCTAGGTAAAACCTATTTCAACAGCAAAGTGATAGTAAAAACCAAGGATAGGATGGAAGGTGTTTTACACAGATCATCTGATCCTTGTCCATTTTGTATTTACCTTTCAACGTTGTTTTCCAGTCTACTCCAAGTTAAGTGATGTTTGCTTTCCTACATAACGCCTGCTGATATCTTCTAGAAAAGGTTTTAAATGCTTCCCTCCTACACTTGTATTTTGTATTGTTTCAGAAAATATAACGATGATTTTTGTCAATTTTTCAATAGCCTTACATAGGTTTGTGATGATCTTGGAAGTGATTTGTATCATCAATTGTGCATCTGCCAAGTTAAATTAAGAAACAGAAATGACTGTATGTGGTTGGCTCTTACCACTGGCCTAGGCTTATGAAGTACATTTGTCTTCCTGTCTGGCCATCTGCTTTAAGCACAGTGGGCCAAGCTGATCCCTGATAAATCTCCTGGGATCAGCAGATTCTTGAATTACCCCTTTGGGCCTGTATGTCTCGACCTATCCCCCTGTTCCACCTCCAGTTATTTAATTGAATTTGATTGGTCTGATCAACCTCTGATCACTGCTGGAGCTGAGTAAAATCACCAGAACTCCATACCCAGTTAAGGAGCTGTATTTTAGGTTTTGGATAAATTGATCTCGAGGTCCTGAAGGACAGCACAGCATAAGGATGTTCAAGATAAGGAGCATATTTTTATAGAAAAGGCAAAGCTTTCCTTTTCATGTTTTTTAAAGTAAAAAAGCAAGAATATTATTACTTCAATTATAGAATTGGAGATATATGCACATAGTGGAATTGTAAAATACAATTAATTTACTGTGTTTCCAGAGGGTAATTAATAACGAATAAAAGCTGAGAATTTAGTGGTTTGGGCTAGCTGCATGTTTTGCAGGACAGGGATCTTGGTAGTTCTTCTGTTTTTTGTTCTCTGATGTGATGCAGCAGTGTTCAGAGAATTATTACCTATTTTAAGTTAACATTTTTAATGTAGGTTGTTTGTCTTGTGCCATTTATTGGCACATTTCAGCTGACAAAAATAGATCTCCGATTATATTTCCTACATCTGTTTATCTTAATAGTGCCTGTTTTGGTCTGATATAAAGAGATAAATGCCAGATTTTTAAACCATTCAAATTGTAGCTACCATTCAAATTATTAGGAGATAACTCTGAGCATTGGACTTCTAACTAAAGGTCATGTTTTCATTCTTTCTGTAGATAAATATAATTCAGGGCATAGTGGCTGAAATCAACATAAAGACTGGGGAATCTGAATGCCAGTATTACAAAGAGAGACTTATTTACCTTGAAGAAGGCCAAAGGGATTCACTGATCGATAATTCACGTGCTCTGTGTTGTCATGGTGAACTGAAGAACAACAGGGGAGTGGTAAGGAATAAAAATTTTATCATAAATAGCTTTTAAAGGCATCTTCATTTTGCATGACAGCTAAAAGAGCTGTGAGCATACACAGAGAAACCTTATGCTCTAACATATATCAAGTTGGTAAATATTAACTGTTATACATAACACTGATCGTTTTTGTTAGTAGTTAAATATGTATAGTGAGATAATAAGCTTATATGTATCTCTGTCTCTCGTGGGGCCTGACAATATCCTGGATAAGTTGTAAATCTCATAAATTGCAATACTTGCAGGATTATGTGTCACAGGAGAGCACAAGTTGTAAAAAAAATTGGACTATTCATGGATATAAAATGAGGCATCTGTTGTGAAAATAGAGAATGAAGATGGGCATTTTCAATGTCAAAAGACTGCCAAGGCATATTGGGAAATATTTCTGCTGTAATTACTATATAGTTACATGAGCAGTGGAAGATGGGACAGTGAGCTAAATGGATCTGAAGCTCTGTCTTATCTTAAACTTGCAAGCAATGTGTTTATTTAGATTAGAAGCAAAGAACCTGTGATTGGGAAGCAAATTTTGGCAATGAAAAACAAATTTTTTCAGTGCCTGATATCAAGGGAAATGAATATAAAATTTCAACTTTTTTATTATTGGAAACCAGTGCAGGTTGCACAGTGTGAGGAGGAACATACTGTAAAGATGGTAACAGGTGACTTGTGCCACCTAGGAGCAAAAGTAATTTTCTGAGCTTCAAAGAGTGAATATTTCCAGTGGTGAAGCTGATTGTGAGCAGCATGTGAATTGGAAGAAGATCACTTATAATTGTTAATTGAAAATATCTGGATGAGTAAGGTTGCTTCTTTCTTATTAATGGAGGCAGTAGAGAGAAGTTAAAGCAAGAGTCAGAAAGAAGAATGTGTATAAACATGCTGCTGCTGCAGAGGCAGCTTTGAAATGTTGTGCACGTTTCAAGGCCTCAGCTTGGAAAGGAGTATGACATAAGAAACTGAGCAGAGGACGGGAAAAATAATTCTAGAAGTTTTATGTACTTGTGGGCTGTTGTGCCATGTAGTGGGAAGAATGGAATATTTATTTGAACTGTTGAAAACTCCAGGTTATAACATCCTCGAGTTTAAATAAATCTGGTTTAATGATTTTCTGAAAAAAGGAATAATGCTTTATTATTTATTACTGTCTACCAGAAACTGCATGTGTTCCTCTTTGAAGAAGTGCTGGTGATTACTCGAGCTATCACCCACAACGAGCAGCTCTGCTATCAGCTGTACCGGCAGCCAATTCCCGTCAGGGAGCTCGTGCTGGAAGATTTGCAGGATGGAGAGGTTCGGTTGGGTGGATCCATCCGTGGTGCATTCAGCAACAATGAGAGAAGTAAGACCACACCTTTTATTATTGGCTTATGTAGGATCATTATAACCTCGAGATAGCTGCCAGTGAGACGTCAGAATGTTTTCTCTAAAATTCACGTTATCCAGCCTCTTGATTTTTGTTTCAAACTGGTTTATTGTGCTGTAACTTGTTTCCTTTAGGTTCATTCTCAAAGCTCACTGTACTGATCATTTCTTCACATACCTGCTTCTGTACTGAATTGAGAAGGGGGAAATATGTAGGCTGTAGTGGCAAAACTGCAGAATTATAAACAAGTGTGTTTGGAGATCTCGAGCTTTAGCTGTCATGCCTTTCCCTGTATTATGGAGACACTGATTGCTGTTCCATAACTCAGGTGGCAGATATTGTAGCACTCAGTGTCAAGACTGCAGCTATTCATGTTAATGTCCTTCTAATTAAGGTCATTATAAAGATGCTTGTTTTATTACAAGGGTCCTCTTGAATAAATTCACTTGATATCATGAATCTCACTTACCCGATCAAAACTTGGAGGGATCTTTGTACATATCCACTATATTACTGAAGAGAATGGAAGAGATGAGGCAGTCTCTGGCTGGTACAAGACACAGTGCTCAGTGAAGGTTCTGGAAATCTGCTTTGCAGAGAAGTAGGAAGAGAGGCTTGAAAGTGTGGGAAAAGCCTTGATCCTGCTGATTCTAATAAAGCTTTATGGATAGCTCATGCATGGCAGAACCAAAATCATTTAATCCAGCAGTATGAAATTATTAGAAGAGTTTGTGGTGTCCTGTGATCTTGACCCACAAAACAAGGAGATACCCAGACTCTTCTCTTTGGTCTGACGTGGTATTGGCAGGAAAACACATGAAGGCAAACAGTTTGCAGATTCTGTTACTTAAATATATACGCTTTGATTATAAAATCCATTCAAGCCAAAGCATTCAAGGTTTTGATATGTATTGTTTCTTTCAGTCAAAAACTTCTTCAGGGTCAGCTTCAAAAGCGGCTCTCAAAGCCAGACTCACTCTCTCCAAGCCAATGACTCCTTCAACAAGCAGCAGTGGCTGAACTGTATCCGCCAGGCCAAGGACAAGGCAGCGTGTGCGGGCAGGGCTGGCGGCCCGGCCTCAGAAGCGCATTTTGTGCTGTCAGCAATCGGACGCAGAGTTCATCAGGGAGAGCCTGGCCTGGAGCAGATGGACCAATCCGACTGCGAGTCAGACTGTAGCATGGACACCAGCGAGGTCAGCGGCGACTGCGAGCGCATGGAGCAGACGAACTCTTGTGAACGTGAAAAGCAAATAGAAACCAATGTTTGACGAGAACTTTACAGCTCGTGGAAGAAAGTCTGTCTCTTACCTGTACAGTATTTGCATTCCATATATGGAACCATTTGGAGAAGCACTTTTAGAATATTTTTTGTGATGACGTCAATGCAGTCCTTCTTGTATTCGTTCCTGTGAGTGTAGTACTGTGACTGCCCATCTGTATAAGCTGGAATCTCTTGCAACTCATGTCCTGTGATTATAGTCCATAAACACCTAAAGTGGATGAAAGAGGTACTTGACCAGTTATTCTCAGTGTCCTGCTGTAAACAGAATCTCTAAACTACTGTTTATATATGCATTACATAAATAACCTTTCCTGATTTAAAGTACTTTATTTGCCCCTTCGTGGGGCAGCTAAAGATGTGGACAAAATATGGAGTTTCAGTATGGGGTGTCAAGATAATAAGTTTTCTTAAAGGCATGGAAGGAAAAAATAGTTTCTTGGATAAAAAGAAAACTATCTTGCAATAACCTGTCTGAACTCTTGTGATACTAAATCAACAAGAACTGTAAACAGCAGGCCGTGGAACCAGGGACTCTTTGGGGATTAATTTTTCAAAATGAAGTGCTGTCCTAAAAGCCAGCAACCAAGCTTACTAAAATGTGGATATTTCAGGTGGTCAGCGTAGTGATGTGGTTTATTTGTCAAAGCATGTAATGCTAAAAATAATCAAGTGAAAAAAAACCCAACCAAACCTCTGCAGCCAGCACTGAATGAAATGAAACGCTGAGAATACTGGGTATTTGTAAATAAGCTGATAGTTTGCTTTCAGTGCCATATATATATTATCCCAAACAGGATAATGGAAAAGAGCTTCTGCTTGTGAATAGGCCCTCTTCAGCATTTTGCACTCCACTGACCTCCACTGTTGGTTTTAAACACCACTGAACTAATGTTAAAACATTTAATTTTCTGTAAATGTCTGTTTACAATTACATGTAGTTGGTTTTTAAAACTAAGTGATGATTTTATATAAATGGTGCTCTACAAATACCCCATGGGATTATGTAGAGAAAGTTTAAACAAAAAGGGAATTGTTTTTCCTTTAGGATGTATTACATCCTTTTTATTTTCCTCAAGTGTTGTTTTAAAAGTTTTTGTTGCATTTAATCTCATGCTGTAATTGGAAATATTACTGTGTTTCTGGTGGCTGATTTAATCTACTCATTATAATGAGAAGCAGATGAGTCACTTAAATGCAGTCTAAAACAGTTAAACATCCTGTTACTTTCAGGAATCCCTGGGTGATATTTTATTTCTTACTATATGAGATAATGCCAGTGCTGTGTGGCAAGCTATGAAAATGATATATTAATAAATTTAAATGATTCTTGATATCACACAAGATAACCTGTGCAAAGTACTCGTCACAACAAAAGTAGAAAAACTTAAGTTATTGCCAAAAATATTTTTCTTGTGATGTACAAGTTTACAGAAAATGTACTGTGTCGAGTATCTTACATATATATATGCTGATGTGCATTACAAAAATCAGTGTGACAAGATGATAAACAGTATAAAACAAGGTGGTTTTATTTTTTAAGAAAATGGCATTTTTACCCTATAGAACGTATTTCTGTATTTATAGTTTTTCAAAAAAAATCAATTTTCTTTTCTGTTTCAGGCTTTGTAATTTATTTCAACTGCTTCATTTTTAGAGCTGAATGAGTATGCCAGTGAAGATGGGAGAAAGCAAAAATCTACAAAAGAAAAGGAATAGCAAAGCTGTTCAGCAAAATGTTGGAAAAGAGATAAAAGCATGTAAAGTGTTCAGATAGAGAAGAAAGAATGAATGTGTGTATTGCCTTTTCTTTGAGAAGAAAGAATGAATGTGTGTATTGCCTTTTCTTTTCTTTTTTTTTTTTTTAAATAATGGCCTTAAACTTTTCTGGAAGCATTTCAAATAAATTACATTAAACTATTTTGATTTTTATTTGTTTTGGTTGGTTGTGCAAGAAGACTGCAGAAAGATTGAAGTGATTTAAGTACAGACAGTGAGGCTCAATATAAGTGGCCAAGGCTTATCTTCTGGTTCCTTTGGAAGTGTTCATATCTGGATCTAATTTGCTAGATACAAAGTATTAAAAAAAAGGAGTCACTGTACTCAGTTCACCACATTCCCCAAAGTTCTGTGTTAAATAATTAATTTAGTAAGTAGGTGGAACAAAGAACTAACATCCTGTCATCAGTTTCTCTCTTGTGATTCCTTGGGGATCACATCTCTACTAATATATTATTCCAAAATACTGAGTTGATTAATTCTGGGGTATGTAAAAAGCCACCAACCAGCCAGTGAATCTCAGAAGATTAATTTACATTTGTTTACTATCATTTAGCCGCCCACTTAACCTCATGTTCAACATTCTGGAGTGCAAGTGATTTGTTCTGCTTTGTAGTTTACATGCACTTAGCTACTGATTAATCTAAGCTTAGTAATGTTGGGTTTTTCTCTTCAAATCACCTGAAGGATTAAGCTTTCCAGCTCAAGAACACTAATATAATTCTAGATTTGGTTAGCTTGTTTCAGTTCTAGCACTTTTAAAATGCTGCTGCTTTTGAAAGAGTGACTGGATTGTGGCAGGAGAGGCCTGGGGTGGTGGAGGGGTGGGGTGGGCATGGGCAATGAAATGTACCAAAACAGATGGGTAAAACATAAAATGATGAATGTGTAGTAGGGAGGAAAAGCAATGTACAGAAAGATGTCCAAGTGGTCATCACAGTCAGTGATCCCGGTGTCGGCACAGTCGGGTCTGAGCGGTTGCAGCAGTGACAAGACTGAGGTGTCCGGTGCTTCCAGGATCACCACGTGGGGATGGCGACATGAGGAGCGGGATGCAGGTGCTCCTGTGAATCTGAGGTATGAGCACTCTGGATCTCACCTTCTGGGAGAAGAGGGAGTGATGAGGTGTCCTGCTCTCGAGAGCAGTGGTCTGATGTGGGAGATTTGTCCCTTTTGGACAAATCTTAGCAACTGTTTGCTCTTCTGTTCCTGATGAAGACAGTCAGTGTAGTGTGGGGTTTTCATGTGAGCACGGACGACTCAGCACCCCAATATGATGATCAGCCATTTATTTGAATCAAGCAGCAGTCTTTTACACAGTGTTCTAACAATACTCTTCTATTAGCTCTATTTCTCTAACATTATGTCCTTTCCCACTCTGATAGCTGCTACTGGGACCCTGTTTTGTATATCTAGTTTTGCTACTGTTTCTCTTGGTAGATCTTTCACATCCTTGTACCATCAGAAGGCCATCAGAAGAACTGATCATGTTTTCACAATTGCAACATAAGGTTATGTTCTCACAGCAGCATATCCTCTGCTAGCAACATAGGGTTATGTTCTCACAGCTGCAGCATATCCTCTATCTTTGCACTGTAAATCCCTATAGTGTAGTCTTAGCTAATGGAAAGACCTGATGAACCAGAAGGTAAAAGCAGAGATTGTCACGACTGAGAAGGAAAGGTAAGCAAAGAGAATGGCCTTGGAAGTCTTTGAACTACATAGATCCTCTGACAAAAAAAAAAAAAAAAAAATTTTCTCTCCGTGGCCTTTGTTTCCCTAGATTTGCTCTGCAGCACTGAAAAGGACAACACCAGGATGAAGACTTATCTCCTGGAAAACAAAGGTCTGTTATGAGACACCTGCAGCAGTAAGTTTAAGGTCTCTGAAGCTCAGTACCAAAGAATCAGTTGTCAGAATCTGGGTAAAGGATAGGTCAAAGATTGAACTGCAAGGCAGAGAACATATTTCTCCTATTCAGCATGATCCACCTGAAGCAGGGATACTGCCTTAGGAATGCCTCTGGGGGGGTGGAAACCAGGTTTCTTGAGGTTTCACAAAATTTTTAGAATTTAAAAGCTACGTCAGAACTTAAAGGTACCAGTTTAATGAATTGCAGGTTTTGAAAAAGTTGATGTTTTATGGTGACACTGCCTAGCACTTCCCAGACAATGCTTGGTTGCCAGGATCTAACAGAGTCTGAAGCTGAGTTTCATATATCTGGAAGATTTTTTCTCCTTTGAAAAGGGGGTTCCAGATCTAGAATGGACAGTCCTTCCATATTTAATGCTTACTCATGAATACTGATTTTAAAATACTGTAATCTGCTCTAGAGGTTGATGGTGCCATCTAATGGAAATTATGATGTATTTTTAGAGCTGATTTGATTACATTAAATTTAAAGATATTAAACATATTAATCATGATAAAATGCAAGTATTTTAAAAATACAAGTAGGTATTTTCAAACTTTCACCTGAGGATCACAAATTTGTTAAAAAAGCACCAGGTGAATTTCTGCTACTTATCCCTGCTCTTACAGAGCCAAGTCAAGCCTGCCCCATTTTGTCTCACCTTTTAATATCACAGGCATATTTTCTCCATGGCTGGTAAATGATACTAAAGCTCTTTCCAAGTGTGTAAATTAGGTCTTGTTTCTGAATTTTCCAAAGGTGCCTCTCTTTGTATGGTCTTTGAAGAAAGATTAACGATACAGTTCTCCTATCTTTGATCTTCTGGCACCTGAAATTTAGTCGGCACTAAATTAGCATTTAAACATTTGAAGGAATGAGATGTGTTTTGCATCATTAGAGCAATTTCTGTAAAGTAAAATAGTAGTTTCTAGTTATTTACATTAAACTGTAATAATATGCTCAGATTGAGTAATTCTGTATTTCTAAATTTGCTTTCACAAAGGAATGCCGAGGTACTGTCTGGAGCAAACCCCACGTTTGCTCCTTGAGCAAGGGCCTTACACAACCCTCCCTGGAAAATGTCTCATTTTGTGGCTGTTAATCTGATCTAAATCTGTATTACTAATGTGTTACATATCATCTGATTTCAGAATCAAAGGAATCTGCAGCTGCTCAGTACTTGGGTGGGAAACCACTTGGTGCAAGCCAGGGAGTCGTGGTTGAATGCCTGGCAAGGATCAGAAACCGCAGAAACCAGAAGCTAGAGAGACAGTAAGGTGACAGATTTTATAACCTTTT